TCTATCCAAAATTACAATTCACTTTGAAAGTGGGTGATAATTTAATTGTTTGGACACAATTATATAATTTAAATAACTCATTGATATTTGATTGATATCAAAAACCAATGTTTTCGGAAAGATTTTTGAATTTTTTGACTCAGCAGTCAAAACAATTATCCATTAGATTTTACATTCAATACTATTAATGCAAGAGTTAAAACATTAATAAATAAATTGAATTCTTGTTCAACTAAAAGATCAAATAACAACTTACCTTTTAAAGAATGAATTAAATGATTTTCCATATCGTATTTAGAAGAGATATCGAATAAATTCAAGAATATAACTAATGAGGAGTTTGTCAAAGTTTCTTTTTTTAGTTTCTTTTTTTTTAAACAAGTTGAATCAATTTATTAAGGAATTAAGTTCATAATATAAAGATTCTTTATAAATAATGAATTAAAAAGAAATGTAGTTGAAATGTAGAAGAAATGTCTACAAGATCAAAATTCGTGATAGCGATGCTTCTTATGTAGAACAAACAGTGAGAAAATTACAAACTTTCTGAACACCGAAAGCATAGTTAAACATCCACTCATTTGGTGATTACAGAACATAGGTTGCAAAATAATCATGACTTTGATTGGTAAAATATTAGAGATTCTGGATGTAGAGAATTATTATAACAAATGGTTGATATATATCGGAAATGATGTACATTAATGTACATTAATCAACAGACTAATGGGCTAAATTTACAACATAATATTACTTTAAATCATGCTTACATTGAGATTCTCAATAAAGTAAAGTTTGTTCATAATACAATACATGTACAATACGTAAGCTATAATTTGTTTGTCTTCAAATTGACCGCTATGTTACTTGTTTAGCAATTATTATTCAACCGACTGTTAAAATGACAAGACACAAATTGTTCTCTCAATTATTATTTTAAAATTTTGACGATAATTTTTAATACATTAACAATGTACAAAATGTTGCATACGATATATTTATTGTTCAGTGTAGAGGCATCGATTGTGTGGTGATTATTAATTTTCAATTTTATATATATGATAATTTAATCACTTATATAATTTTATAAGTTCTCACTTGCCACTCAGTTTTCTAACTTTGTGACTTACTCACAACAGTTAACAGTTCAATTTTTTGAGAAGAAAAACGTTGGAGATATTACTTTGTGATGCAATATTCCAACCGGTGCGTTAAGGAGAAAGATTGCTGATGAAA